ACCTCATCAGCTGCATGACTGAACACATAAAGAAATGGAAAACAAATGGCTGGCTAAATGCTAAGTCCAAGCCCGTCGTCAATCAAACACTNTCAACTCCCCATGATACTGGAGTTACCTAAAACAATAAACATTTCAGCAATGGCACCAATACTAAATGAAAAACCGAAACCCATACACCCATTGAGCCAAATAAAACAACATATCTTACCCACATCAGATGAAAACAGGGAATTCGACGAATCACTCCAACACACCTTAGACGAGGCGGAAGAAATCGGACTCCACCNTATGACATTTCGAGAATACGAATCATCACCGATTCCAAATACCTCATCAGCTGCATGACTGAACACATAAAGAAATGGAAAACAAATGGCTGGCTAAATGCTAAGTCCAAGCCCGTCGTCAATCAAACACTCCTGAAACAGCTCGCCGAACTCACCCGGAAAATCGACGTCCAATTCGAATATACCCCAGGACANATTTCAGCAATGGCACCAATACTAAATGAAAAACCGAAACCCATACACCCATTGAGCCAAATAAAACAACATATCTTACCCACATCAGATGAAAACAGGGAATTCGACGAATGACTCCAACACACCTTAGACGAGGCGGAAGAAATCGGACTCCACCATCAAGAGGAATACCACCATAGANTTAAAAAAAAAACCCAAATTAAGCACAACAAACCCAAACAAAAATTCTCCAACTTACAGAACACAATACCATGAGAGCTATCCTCATCATATGGACCACCGTTTGGGTAATTCAGGCCGNTGCAGGACTAATCAAGACTCAACTCCCCATGATACTGGAGTTACCTAAAACAATAAACATTTCAGCAATGGCACCAATACTAAATGAAAAACCGAAACCCATACACCCATTGAGCCAAATAAAACAACATATCTTACCCACATCAGATGAAAACAGGGAATTCGACGAATGACTCCAACACACCTTAGACGAGGCGGAAGAAATCGGACTCCACCATCAAGAGGAATACCACCATAGAATCCTCACCGCAACAAATGGCATCATCACCGCCATCATCTTCCTATCCATGGTCGCAGCCAGCATCTGCGCATACAGGCAAGGGCTGTCCATCATGAGCATTCTGTCATGCTTTTCCCTCTGCCAGAAGTCCAAGAAGAAGCAAAGAAAATTCCAACGAAGAGTNGAAATCGACCAAATAAGAACAATCAACAGAAAATGGCGACTGATACTCACGGTGGACATGCACAACTTCCTAGGACAACCACTACCCGGGATACAAACCATAGAAAAACATCAAACTGAATGCTATAAACACCAAGGAAAGCAAAACTGCGATAGAGTACTAGGCATACCCATCATGGAAGAGTACAAGACGACACTCCAAACAATACAGAAACATCTGGAAAGAATCTGGAAAAGTCCAAAACAGAACCCCAAAAGACGTTATAGCAGATCCCCTTTACTAGGATTCGTGGGCACCATATCGAGATTCCTCTTCGGCACCACGGACTACAATGACCAAGAACACATTACCAAAGAAATTGATCGACTCTATCAAGACCAACAACAAATCACCCACCTAGTCGGAAATTCAACTCACATCATCCAAGCTGAAANTAGCGCCGAAAAAGGAAGGGATCACCAAACTAAAACACGCCATCACAATCCCCAAACAAGACACTCCATCCACCGTAGTTATCAACCACATCTAAAAATAAAAAGGTCAGACACGTGTCAATAAACAAATTTTATTGTATAAGTACAAGTCCAACATCAGCCAAACAAAATATCCTGGCCAACTGCCAGAGTAACCCCGAAAATCCGCGAGNACAAGCCTCGACGAAACAGCTAGAAAAATACAACATGCCGCCAGAAAGTATCTAGAAACGACGCACAACATCCTCNAGTCCAACATCAGCCAAACAAAATATCCTGGCCAACTGCCAGAGTAACCCCGAAAATCCGCGAGGAAAATTCCTTCAGAAACCCTAGGGGCTCCCTCCTCACCACCTCCTCACCACCGTCGCCAAGAAGCCCTTGAAAATAAGGAGCTGTCTCGATAGCCTCCGTGCCTAAAAAGAAAAAAAAAGAAAAAAAAATATATATATACATATATATATAAAAAATTCTAAGAGAATTAGAATTTAGAGAGAAAAAATTTCCGCTTCACCCAGCCGGGAATCGAACCCGGGTCTCCCAGATACGCGCCGGGCACTCTTACCGACTAAGCTACCGGGAACCACAGAAATTCACTCTCAAATTCACCNCTAGAAACGACGCACAACATCCTCCATGCCATAGAAGACGCGAAACACGAGATACTAAACCCCATCTTGATAAATAACCAGAAATTGGACAAGGCCATAGAGGAAATTGGAAAAGTCATNATATATATATACATACCACTTACCGTGGTCAGTTGATAAGAAGGCCCCAAGAAGGCGAGAAAGTCTAGGAGCACCTCCAAGAACCCACCCACTGGGATCTCTCCCCCACAAACCTCAGACGCCACCGCCAGCAGTGTCTGCAACCGATCCCCTTCTAACAGCTCCCTCACCTCTACCCTCCTTTCCTCCCACCACAAAAAGCTCTGGAGGAGATCCCCCTCCAGCTCGACCTCCCCGGAAACAATAGCGAAGGGACGAATCCCTGCACCCACAGGAAGGTCGGGGACCTCCTCCACCTCCCTCTCACCGTCAACCTCCAAAACCTCCCGAACAGCACCTGGAGCCATCTAAAATAAAAATAAAAAATAAAAAATAATAATATAAATAAAATAAAATACATTAAAATTACTACTGCTAATAGAACACAAGAGAAAAATCAATGCATATGCGCGCACAGTCAAAAAAAAATGTATATATATATATATATATATATATATATATATTTTTTTCATAATTATGTTTAATTATTTACATCTATATAAATGAGCAAACAAGTAATAACAAAAATAATCCATAGACATAAGTAAACAAGAAATATCGCTACCCCCCCCCCCCCCCGGCGCGTAAACGTGAAGAACATGCCGAACTTATACTCCACTCCTCCTGGTGCGAATGTCGCACAAAGAGGAGTGGAGAAGAATACACCTCCTATGCATAAGAGCGTGGAGGGTTTCAATCGGCCGTTCCTCTTTGTGCGACATTCGCACAGGCACAAGCCTCTCACCAACCCCCCTCACAACCCACCATAAGAACTTTAGATTCAAAATTTACCAGAAAATACAAAACTACATAAATAAATAAAATAAGTATAATAAAATATAATAAAATAAAAATAGCAAAAAAGAAAAAGAAAAAAAAACCCGAATGTTTGCATACAAATGCAGCGAACTCAAGAAAATAAACCACTGCACATGTGTCAAAAATAAAATAGAAAATAGACAGGAAAATATCCCAAACACTTACCGTAACGAATAAAATCCCTGGCACACAAACAAAATTAAACCGAAACACTTCACAAGTCACCGAGTGAGCGAAGAAAACTGACAGGTGAATCGGAAATACAATGTAATCCGAACTCCCAAGAATGTCATCGTCAGCACCCAGCCGCTCACGGCCACCGCTCGGTGCACGATTATAAAGACAAAATAACTATCCATACTAGAAATAAAATTTAAAACTCCAACTTCTCAAAATTGCTTCCAAAATGCAATCGGAAACAATTATGAGCGGGGGCTGTAATGTCCAAAAATTTTATACTAGAAATTTAAGACTAGAATAAATTTTATATAGGATCATAATTATAAGTTACATTATAACTTCATGTAATTGAGAACCAACCCTACAATTGTAAGCTAAATTGAGTACATTTCATCACTTGAACTCAATTAAAAATTCCAAAGGCATTGGAATCGAGTTCAAAAGTGATGAAATGGCACACTCAGCATGCCCCAATTACCCAATACTAAGATTGGCACGCGAAGGAACGATTGCAAACCNACCGAATGAACTACTTCCCCATAAAAATCAAAAGAGTGGGAAAAGTCATACAACATTTTCCACCAATTAAAAATGGACTCGTTTGAGCCCATGTGACAAGTGACCCCAAAATTCATATAAAAATATCAGAAAAACCAAAATTAAACAGTCTTGAAGCAGCGACGGAGCAGTAACAATTCTGGTGGAAATAATTCATTTAATCGGTTCGGTTTTTTAATCCTTCCTTCGACTACACGGAATAGTACTGAATTAATAGTAAGTTACGAACAATTGAAATTATCCGGGAATAAAATTTCTTTAACCGAGAGTGGTGACTTTTCTTGCAAATAAGGAATTCGTTTATTGTAACGCGTTGTGGACAGTCTGAACCAAACTCTTAAAATCTTCAAATTCAACTCCCAAAAATTCATTAAAATATCAACGAGTAGAAGAAAGTGTTTCCGTGAAAGTATCCATAATAGCCTTTAGCGCGACTAATTTGTAAACCCAAATTTGAATCCTTCAGATCATTCCAGGGATAGGAATTTTAGCTACCTAGATTTCTGTAAAATCACGCTCATGTTTTTGTAAACCGAGTAGTTAAACAAAATATATTTAAATTCAAATTTGATTCCCACTACAACTCCAAATGTCTTGATTAGAAATTCGTCTCAACTGAAGCCCTATCCTTAAATCAAGCCCTTTTTCCCTTATATTTTAAAAAAAGGTAAGAGTATAAAACTTTGCGTCGTCCGATAATTATAAAATTCAATAATTTTAGCTTTGATTTTAATGTGACAATTAAAACATATCCATTCGACGCTAAAATCCTTCTCTGGACATAACAACCAAATGAAGCTCTCCGAACAAGCAATATCACAAAATATCGTACCGTCATTGTAGATCTCATCAAATCCAAGAAAACAGGAACGGCTCTTCCTCATTATATGATTGCTTCAGTGAAACATAGGAAAATGGACTATGTGTACTGGGACGATCCTAATGAGCTAGTGGATAGACTTCGACTACTGAGTCATACAAATGAAATTATGTCAATAATCGAGGAATTACCTGAAGGTGACATTATTTATTGAGCTGTGGCCAAAACATCCCATCAGTTGAATCATGAGTGTCGACGTGTTCGGACGCCAGTTGGGCACTGGTGTTGTGAGAGCTATCGGCAGCCGAGGTCCTCCAGGTGAAGGATTCAAGGTCACGCCTGATGGACTATATGATATGGATCATCGGAGATTATGTAATTTGGCGGATCCTGAAGAAGAGAATGATGCTACATCTTTGAAGATATTGCGCAGTATGTTGAAGGAGGAGCTTCGTCTCATATATAATGTCACTAGGTGGTAGACTTGATGGGATTGAAACGATGATTCAATCATTCCAAGCAAATTTCCTGGAGGCTATGAACCGAAAGGGTGTTAGTGAAGAGGAAGTACAAGAACGTTTGAGCAGTCATTCTGAGACCATTCAACGTCTGAACGAGGAACTGACAACACTGAAAGAATCGGTTATACATGAGACCAGATTCATGATCGATGGTTTATATTCACTGACAAGCAAGCAATTGGGAGGAATAAAAAATGATTGGGTTTTGATCATTCACCTAATAGTTGCATAAATAAGAATGCATTGTAATAAATGCATGAATAATAAAGAAGATCATTCTTTGAAAAACGACATATTTTATTTACAATACCCATATGGTACAGTGTCAGTTGAGTTTGTACAGTGTATTCTCTTATCAACATTCCAACTAAGAGCTATTTTTTTCTGCTGTATAGTATATACATCATGATTCTGACTTTTAATCAAATACTGTGATTTAGTTAGACTTTGGTGATATATCAAACAGTCTTTATAGTCATCAAACGTAATCTTTTTCAATGCTGTACCTTTCACTCCTTTCACATTCTTCTTCGCTCTCTCATCACCATGAATTTTAAACGTGTACAATTTTGTTCTTAAACCAACAAATTCACTCATTACCTTACCATTACACTCATCTTCGATAAGTCCTAATAGTTTCTTATTCACACGTGGCATTCCATAGATATTATCTTTTGAATAATCAGATATATCAAATCGAGCAATATCACGTTTCATACATTCATAAATATCAAGTATTTTGAACTCATACAAAAGACTGTCTGTATCTGTGTACATGAGCTTAGCACTGTCCCCAAATTCTCGTTTAATATAATCATAATGAAAATCATAGATGAGTATTTTGGATAGATCCAGAATTGAGAAATCAACGTAAATGGGTTTATTGAAGAACATTTTATTTCGATTTAACTGGATGATTGCCAAATCCTCATTAAAAATAATACAACTGTCCAATTTGGGCTGGGCAATGAGGACTTTGGCACCTTCCTTCCCATTTCGTCACCAACTTCACCTCTTTTTGTTTTCTGACATTCTCAATAGTTTTCCCGAAAACTGAATTGTTCATCAATTTGAAGAAATTTTTTTCAAACTCATTGCTCGATTGCTTTCTCAATTCTGTATTGAGGTCAATGTACGTTTTCAGCCATGGTGCTTGGTCAAATTCCAGTACTCGGTGAATTTTCGTCAATTTTAGCCGCAAATTCAAACATTGCTTGAGATTATTGTAATGAATCATATAATTTGTTTTTGGAAGTAATGTCGTCATCAATTTTGAGATTTTCTTGTTTGGGGAACAAAATGTTCCGGGCAAAGTGGTAAATCCTCGTGAGTCTCAACGAGCTCTTTGGGATACTCCAAGTCAACCTCAAGGATATAACCTTTGCTCGAATCATCTGGAATTGTGTGCACATCAACGATTAATGGATCAACCCACTGGAATGAGCCATATGGAAAGTACTGCGACATGGCTGCTCCGTACAAATTGTTCACGTCAAAGTACTTCAGGTAAGAAGTCTCTTTGTTGGGGTCGANAAAGTACTACGACATGGCTGCTCCGTACAAATTGTTCACGTCAAAGTACTTCAGGTAAGAAGTCTCTTTGTTGGGGTCGAATTCCTCATGCGGGTACTTATTGTTGGCATAAGCGTACCGATTGGAACATTGAGCCACCCCACCTCGAATCCCTTTCTCAATAAACAAGTGCATATCAATGTCAATGAGGAGTTCAAGGTTTACACCAGTATATTTCAACATAGCATCAAATGCTAATCCTGGTGCGGTGTAATAATGCAGAGGATCAAGTTTGTATACCGAAGAACAAGTCTGTGTGACACTTTGGAAGATATCTGCCAAAAGTACCACGTCTGTTGCTAGATAGAGGTCGGAATATTCACCTAAAAATGTGATGCGAAAAACGTTCCAAACTGTTTGCGCATGGTCGTAATCCTCAGTAGAGACACTCTTATCATTCAATTTGGAATAGAATTCCTCGATAGGAAGCAGTAGTATGGGACCTACTATGACACCCCCCACCCACAGTCACTCCAACCCCACCACTGCACCGGTCAGAGTAGCACGACTCCGAGTGGTGGGGTGGGAGTGTCTGTGGGAGTGACTGTGAATGCTGTGGGTGCGTCACAGCAGCTATCATACCGGGGAAATAAAAAACACAGAATTTCAGTGATTAATTACATGTATATGTTCCCCAAAATAATGTCCCCATGAATTACATATTTTTCTTATAAATTACTTACATTTTTGATTCCACGACGTACAATTATAACCGCGGCCACTAAATAACTTCCCCTCGGGGACACTATTAGGTATTTTTTTCCTGAGTGCATCATGATATTCACGTACTAAACGATCATTAGATATGAATCGATCGGTGAATAACGAATAGAACTTCTCAGGAGTAGCAAACATAGCCATACAATGCAGAAAAAGTACACAGTATTGTCCACATACACTCGAGTCATGATGCTGGAGCTGCCGGATGCTGCACCTGAAGAGTTTACAGTTCTTTCGGAGCCTT